GCATGGATATGTAGAGGGGGGAGGGGGGGTTACTGGTTGCTTTTTGCCCCAGTAGTTTGACCATTGACCGATTTGCTAGGCGTCACCCTCTCGAGACGGAGCGGGGTCTCTCACGCAAGGAACGACATCGACACTGATGGCACTTTTAGGGCCCTTCTGTGGTGTTGCCTTTACGCTCTGCATACAACGCAGTAACAGCGCCGAAACTAGAAATTTACGCTAGCATCATGGGCTTGCTTGCGTATACACGCGTGTGTTGGCGTGCTCAGAACACTTACCTTTCCAAGCTTTAGCAAGACGTACCGTTCTGCTTTACTGCTATTATTTTGCCGTAATTCGACAGTCGGCCTCAAAGTTCTCACCTACGAACAGTATGGACGATAGTTTCATGCGGTGTATGTACGCTCTCCCATTTTTAGTATTTAGTGCTTGGTTCGACCTTCTCTCGCTGCGCCGCAGACAGGCAGCCAACGCCGTGCTTGCCACCGCGCAAAGCAGATCCGCGGGACTTTGATCGTGGTCGATTGGACCGCCAACATTCACCTATCTACCCCTCTCGCTGTCTTCAAAAGCGTTCTTTCCCGCTTCGTTCACTTGGCGTGCTTTTCCTTCTTTGTTGTGCCAGGTTGTGGACCGCCTGCTGTGTGCAAGTCGGGGTATTTTGATCGTGGGTAGCTTGGTCGGGCCGGAGGAACGGGCGGACGTGCGACACCTGGCTATGACGCTTCGCTGGCCTGTGAGAGGAGACAGATGGGATGGGATGGGATGGGGGACGGGGGGGAGTGCTGTGGTTGTCATTTCGGTTGAAGTTGTGGTCGTCGTTGTGGTTGAGCCCATTCGTTGCCAATGTTCTTGTCTTGTTTCAAGTATTTGCCAGGCGCTTAGTGATGCCTGTGAGAGGAGGGGGGTGGGTGGTAATGGATGTGTGGTTCTGTCCATTTGTTGCCGATCTACGATCCACGTGTCATCCGCGGCGACGTACGTTGAACCGTGGGCTCAGGGAGGAAGCCTGGCCGGAAATCCGCGACAAGTCTTGGCCACACCCCTCTTTTCGTGACACCTAGACAGCACCCGTGCAAATGACGCTGCTGTGCGTGCAACCACGACTTTGCAGGTTTATGCGGACGTGACGTCGGGGCTGAGGTGCTGGAGTGCGGAGATGGGCTTGGGCGTTGGTCGCCTCGACCAGCTACTCCAGGACGATGCTGTCAAGGAAGCCATCGCACCGGACGCTGTGTTGCAGGTAAAACGGGCACACGGGGGAGGGGGAAATGGGGGGGAGGGTGACGTGGAGGTGACCCGTCGAACAGGGTCTCTCCTTCTCAGCCTTCCTTGAGTCGTTGAGGGGGGTTGATTGCCTAGCACTGCCGTGCTTCACCAGTATTCGTCAATGCATCTAGATGGCGCGCCAACCCTCGCGCAGACCTACCTCTACATGGTGTCAGTGACACCACTACCGAATACCCCCCCCTACCCGGTCCGGTGAGAACCCGGCATGCTCCGTCCCGGCTTTGTAGGGATGCGAGGTCAATGGTCTAACGACTACGGCATGCACGACTATGAGTACACCCCCC